ACTCGGGGGGGAGGGGGAGGGGCACCAACAGCGTCTTAAACCCCCCCCAAATGGGGGAGGGGGAATTGGGGGGGGGGATTTGTTATTCCCATGGACCCCCCCCCATATGGGTAAGTTTGGGGAGGGGGCACAAAAAACGGGACCACCCCCCCTCCCCTAATTTGGGGAGGGGTCAAAAGCACTGGGAACCCCCACAGCCCAAATTTGGGGGGCGGGGGGCAAATTAATTGGGATCACCCCCCACCCCAATTCCAGGGGGGTCACAGGCACTTGAAGCCCCCACCCCAATTTGAGGGGGGGGCAGAGTTATTGGGACCATCCCCCACACCCCAATTTGAGGGGGGGGTCACAGGGGGGAGTGATGGGGACTGGGACCCCCCACCCTAATTCTGGGGGGGTCACAGTTACTGGGACCCCCCACCCCAATTTCAGGGGGGGTCATTTGAGAACCCCCCACCCCAATTTTGGGGGGGTCACGGACATTGAGAACCCCCACCCCTATTTTGGGGGGGTCACATTGAGAACCCCCCACCCAAATTTTGAGGGGGTCACATTGAGAACCCCCCACCCCAATTTGAGGGGGGGTCACAGACATTGAGAACCCCCCACCCCAATTTGGGGGGGTCATTTGATAGCCCCCCACCCCAATTTGGGGGGGTCACAGACATTGAGAACCCCCACCCCAATTTTGGGGGGGTCATTTCAGAACCCCCCACCCCAATTTTGGGACGGTCACAGACATTGAGAGCCCCCCACCCCAATTTTGGGGGGGGTCACACACATTGAGAACACCCACCCCAATTTGGGGGGGTCACATTGAGAACCCCCCACCCCAATTTGGGGGGTCACATTGAGAACCCCCCACCCCAATTTGGGGGGGTCACAGACATTTGAGAACCCCCACCCCAATTTTGGGGGGGTCACAGACATTGAGAACCCCCACCCAAATTTCAGGGGGGGTCATTTCAGAACCCCCCACCCCAATTTTGGGAGGGTCACATTGAGAGCCCCCCACCCCAATTTGGGGGGGCCACAGACATTGAGAGCCCCCCACCCCAATTTGGGGGGTTCACAAGCACCGGGACCCCCCCTAATTTTGGGGGGGGGGCACAGGAAGGTCGGGGGAGGTCGAGAGGGCGCCGAGCTCGGGGCTGATTTTGGGGGGGGGTCTCGGCCCCCCCGGGCAGGGCAGAGCTGAGGAGGCCTCGGTCCTTTTTTGGGGGAGGGGGGAACGACCCCAAATCCCCCCCAGGGGGCTGTGGCAGGAGGGGACAAGGAGGTGACAAAGAGGGAGGGGCAGGGAGGTGTGACCCCTCCCCAAATTGGGAAAATCCCCCCCAAAAAAAAACCTTAATTTGGGGAGGGGAGAAAATGGAGACCCCAAAATTGGGGAAAAAAATTCCAAAATTCCCCACTTTTTGGGGGGGCAACAAGTGGAAAGCCTAAAAATTGGGAAAAATCCTAAAAATTCTTATTTTGAGGTGAGGGACAAAGAGGTGACCACCCAAAATCCCAAGAATTCTCATTTTGGGGGGGCAGAAACTGGAAACCCCCAAAATTGGAGAAAATCCCCTAAAAATT